CATCGTGCAAAGGTTCTTGACGGTTTCTTCTATACACCAAGGATATATATATCAACGAAAACCGACGACTTCATTTTGGGGTCACCTCTACTACCTCCAGTTAGTCGTATTCATTGACTCTCGATTTCCGACGGGATCGCAAATAAACTCTAGCTACTGTAATGCACAGCTTAACGAGCATTTATTCACGCCGTTGCTATCTGATAATGACATTTGCTGCCTGGGTCTTACATTCTCGCTGGACCCTTAATAAACAATGAACTACATCGCTGGGCGTATTACACGCATGTGAGGATGGACTTTGAAATATAATTTGTCAATTCAAAAACTGCTAAACTAACTCAGTGATAAAAAAGTGACGCTTCTAATCACATCTGCATCATATCCTGGGAGTGAAGTGGGTATAAGGACGGCAGAACAAACAGGTCAGCTTAGTGGACACCTAGAGAATCCCTTCGTCGGCACTAATGTCAGCTGTGGTATACTTATCTTTCGGTATAAAAGAATATATAAAACACCTGAAAATTGCAATGCTTTACGTAGCCCAAATTAGCAAGGCTAATAAGAAAATAACAGCAGCTATTCATCGGAGTAGCCGACTAATTACGTTTCTAAGAAAATTCAAAAAAATAACGTGCGGGAAATTCCCAGCGAAACGTGCGTACCCATATTTCTTGTTTCCTAGAGACACCAATGAAGAATACATGTGTAAGCGTCAGGTGTAAGGTGCCACGTATGTGTGCGTTACCATCGAAATGATCCAGATAGAAAACATTATTCACCTGCAACGAATGAAAACAGCGAATCATTACAAATGCGGAAATAAGAAACTGCAAAAAAACGAACCAATCGTTGAGTTGTAGTAACAATGGTGCTAGCAATACCACAAAAGAAACCTCGTACAAAAAGAACCGTGCGCACACGCTACCGATTATGTAATTCAAACCTTGTGTGAAAAGCAATACAATGAGTCGAGTTGCACGATTTTATGGAATTGAGGAAATCAGACAAACATTTATCACACTCAAATTGCACTAGTAGACTTCTCATTCATCAAAAAATTTGCAGCTTATCGTAAACCGATCTGTATCACTGAGAATGTTTCCACATAAATACAAAATGAAAAAACACTTTCACGAAAGTGTTCCTGGATGATTGAATGTTTTCTAGGACGATAATGTCACTCCGCGTTTCTGACCATCGGTTACCATGACCTCGGGTCCCAATCCAGAGGGCCTAACGGGACTTATGTGGCCCAAACTCCTCGTCAGTGCTTTCATATCCACATGCCAGATCTTAGTTTGACCAGCCTTGATCTTTTTCCACCTACTACTTACGTCAAAAGGCATCGCGCGCTGTGGCAACCTGTTTGGTGGCATGCGCAACACATGCCCCACACAACGTAATCTATGGAGGTCGACCACTTGCTTCAATAGACGACAGCGATTACATAAAACTCTGCCTCCAACCTCAGCATTACATGTCCGGTTTCCCCACCAGATTCATGAAATGCGGCTTTGACAGTGGCGTTGGAACACCGACAGTCTATCTTTATCTGGTTCCGATTATAGCCAAGTCTCTGCACCATTTAGCAGAACCGGCAGAACTGCTGAAGCATGCCCTTCACAGACAAACGGATGTCGCAACGACACAACAGACGTCTCAAGTTGGGAAGTACGAACCAAGTCTTCCGCATGCTTGTCGACACTTCATCTGCGAT